AAACGAGAGGCAGAAGAGAGAGAGAGAGAGAGAGAGAGAGAGAAGAGAGTGACCCTTACCCTGTGTGGTACCAACGATTTTTGTCGAGCACTTTGTCGCTCTGATCAGGCTGATTATAATAGCCCATGAAATTACAGTGACCACGAGTGCACACTTCGCCCGACACACGCACCGGCTGTACGGCACCAGTAATCGGGTCTACAATTTTGATCTCCACGTGTTCTATGGGTCGGCCGACAGATTTGAGCCGACGCTCAGGCGAGTCGCGCACCGATGTATGGCTGACCACTGGACTGCTTTCGGTGGCTCCGTATGGGATCTATTGCGAAACACACCATATTTGTTATGATAATAATAATAAGATATTGCATTATTACTGACCAATATGCTGGTGCACGTGGGTATACGCTTGTAGATCTCATCGAGTAGAGGTGGTGGACAGGGGGCACCGGACATTATTCCTATCACGATTTAAAATATATTTATAGTATGTAAATAAATACCAAACTCATTTACTTGTTCATACCTCTAACCAATGAGCTGGTATTGTATTTGCTGGGATCGCAGGCCAGCATATCGATAAACATGGTTGGCGTGCCGTATATCATGTGACACCTTCGAGTTTATTTAAGTAATTAATTGATTAATCCATCGTTATAAATTAATCAACTTTTACAATTTACATGTAGAGTAATATTATATGTATTTATACTTGTATTTATCGATAGCCTCGAGTGTTTTATGTGGGTTGAATATGGGGGCCGGCAATACCATTGTGGCCCTGCGGAGGGCTATTAGCAATGAGCCCAACACTGACCCAAAACAGTGGTACAAAGGGTTGGGTACGCATACTGTAAGGCCATTGGGCTCCAGACCTTCCAACGATCGTTTACCCGTCAGATAAGCGTTTTGTATCATATTATGATGGGTTAGTGTCGCCCCCTTTGGCTGCCCAGTTGTGCCCGAAGTGAACTGTATGTTAATCGGGTCGTCAAACTGTATGGTCGGGTCGTCGACCAACTCGTCGGTGTGACCCGCGCTGGCCATCAGGTCATTGACACGGGGTATGTGTTTTGGTGCAATTTCCGTCTCCCCGTCGCCGCTGTTTATTACTATTATATTCTTGAGACTCGAGATTCTGGCAATTATATAAGTTGTTATGTTATTATTTTACATTCATTTTAATTATAATAACTACTGATTTATATTTAAAATGTTAATGTTATCTAAATAATTTGTTAATTTATATTGTTTTACAAAAACCCACACGATAATAATTATTAGATATCTGATAGCTAGATTATTAGATAATTAGATGTGATAATGCTAACGCAATTTATAACATGCTCATTTGCATATGCACATAAGTATCTATCATTGTATTTAACCTATTGAAATTTAAAGGTATTAGCAAGACTACATGTATTTTCATGATGAATAAGTTATAATTAATGTAATTTGTGCATGTGCACAAGAATATTAAAAATTCCTAAACACATTTATCACATGTACTCACTTATCACACTCGATAGCCTTGCCTTCAGAGTTGTTTTGGTTGCGCAACAGTTGCGGTGATATGTTATCCAAGATTTCGCAGTAATTACTGGACCGGAACTGTTGGCTGCAGATCAGGGTATGACAGCCGACCAGATTCAGCGCGTACTGGAGCTCATTGGCCCGATAGCCAGGATTCACATTGACCTGGATTATTGTTTTATTAAAATTATGATTAAAAGTTTTACTGTATTTTAAGTTTTTTTGTTGTTTTAATAAACTGAAGGTTAAACACGAATTTTGTCATAAATGTGTATAAATTTAAAATTTACCATTATAAATTTTGTTAATGTACCATTTTACTTTTATATTATATTAAATTCATTGCCACCGTGATGTGATAACACTAATTATTATTATTAAAACAAAAACTAATTAAAATAAGACTTACCATGATGGCACCAATTTTTGCTGTTGCGTACTGTGTAAGCAGCCATTCATAACAATTGGGGGCCCATATGCCCACTCTGTCACCCCTCCCGCACCCCAACCCCTTCAGACCAATAGCTAACTTATTTGCCTGCAAAGAATCGACAATATTATCAAAATAATTAATTTAATTCAAATAAATAATTAATTAAAGCTAACTTGTTTAAATTATTTAACTATTATTGTACAAATAAAAACAAACTAAAATTTTCACAAAATTTATAATTATTAATTAATTAAAAAAATAAAGTAATGAAACATTATTTACGTCGGCATTGAGTTGGGCATAGGTTTTGGTGATCTGTTGGTGAGCGGACACAACGGCCGTCCGATCGGGTGAGTCCTGAGCGCAGTCGCGGATCAATTGACCGACCGTTAGGCCCGACAGGGGCTCCAGTGACGGCTCAAACGCGTAACTATAGCCCGATGTTTGACGATTAAAACGAGTTGTACTGAAAAATACATTTCTAACGCAAAACACATTAATCCTATAACTTGACGCATAACTTGTACAACGATTCACAGCAAACATGATAAAACAATATTGAGATTACTGTGTAATCTATCACAATTTCATTAATCCTAATCCATTATGTAAAACCTCAAGTAGGTTTTAAACAAAGAAACTGTGACTTGAACATTTTAAACAACAAAAAGCATAATTATGTTAACACTCTCTATGAAAACAACTGTTTTCAAGCGTAAACATAATTACTTTTTTCTGTCTAGTTTGAAAACCATTTGGGAGGGTATGCCTCTGTATTTAACAGTTGTTTGAAACTACCTGTCCTTCACCAGAGCACCGGCCTTGAGTGAACGATATGGCTAACATTGTACACAAATGCAGTAGGTTATTTATAGATGATGTGGTGAGCATTACATTTATGATTTAATCTATGTAAGGGGGTTGGTTTGGGGGCACCAACTTGTAAGTTTAAAATAGGATTAGATTGACAAGATCACCTCAATGTCTGGCTATTTATTAAGGTGTTTTTATCAGTGATATCACATTGGTACAAGAGTGTGTTTGATGTTCTTGATTATTTTGTTTACATTGTATCGGAATAAATACTAAATAAATCCAGTTTTTTTGATGATTTTAAAATTAATCAAGTTAGCACTTATTTGAGTTCACATTTGAGTCATTAGACAATTATCACGAGAGAGAGAGAGAGAGAGATCACTACGATAAAACATTTTATTTTTAATAACTCATGTAGTTTATTAAAATTTTAATTAAATGTAATATTAACAAATTGAACAGTGTATTACTAACGAGATGTAATGTTTATAAACAAACTTTACATAATCAAATTACACAATAAAACAAATTTGTAAAACATGCACATTTTACACCAATAATTTACTGCAATTATTAGTTCACATGGTTATTAATGTAATTTCAATGCACTCGCGGGTGAATTAATAAACTTTTCAAACATCTCGAGTGCGGCGCCGGCCTTATCGGTGGGCACCATATGCCCGGAGCCGCGAACCGTCGCGAACGCCAGCCTATCGTACACTTTATAAAAGCCGGCGATTTGTTTATTATAATTCCAGGCCTTATACTCGCTGACCAGTGTTCGGTTCAGGTCCTCTACAAACCTAAAAATAAACGTGATCATTTAAAACAGTCATTTACAATTACCATGCTGGTCACTCTACCACTCATCACCCAAAAAATTACACGCCATATCCACGTCCCCGTTATATATCAACCCTTTTAAATGCCTGTCCGACGCCAGAAGTTGCTGCACCTGCGCTTTCATCGAGGTGTAAATATTACGATAGCCGGCCATCACCGGTAGGCTACAACTGGTCCACTGTTGCACCGCATCGGGTATGTGTAGATCGCGCCGTACGACCGGGTCGTTGACCCAGTGCTCGACAAAACTGGCGTCAATACAGGGCGGAGTCACCGATAGCTTGTCCAACAGCGGGCGCTCGTCCGTCAGGTTTAACGTACCGATCATTAACCGGTGGTCAAACGTTTCACGCGAATACTTCCCGGTTATGTTGGCAACACTGGCGGTCAGTATCGCACCGAAGGTGCTGTCCGACGGTGACCAACAGTCGGCGTACAGGTTATACACGTTGAGTCCGGGCTCTCGTATGAAACCGGAGGCCCGACTGACGGCCGACACGCAGGCGGCGCTCCGGTTGCTGACAAAATCGCATCGACTGGCGGCCACTGTTGACCCGTTAGCCACCGGTGGACAACAACTGTTGACCAACGCGTCCCACACGTAGTGGTCGTATAGGCCGTGATAGTAGCCGAATGTCAGCAGCGAGTTGCCCAACATTTTTTGATCCAGGTAACCGTTGCCTACCGCGAAGCCCTTGAAGTTAAGGCCGGCCAAACCACCGCCACTACCAACCGGTGCGGCGGAGGCATTGGTAATAGCGTTCAGTATCTGTACGGACAGTGTGGGCACATATATGCCGGCATAGCTCTCGCCCATTAAGTAAAAGTCGTTTGTCTTAAACTGCGGGAACTTGCGGTAGAAACACTCGATGGCCGCCACGTTATCCCTGGCCACCTGGTCGTCGTCGGTGGCATATTTACCATCCATTTTGTACGAAAAGCCCACCCCTGCCGGCGCCTCCAGGAATAGCATGTTGGCCGCCCGGTTCCAGCTGTTTTCATTCGGGTACAGTTGCCGCCCGTTTGGGTCCACGTGCAATGGACCTTGTTCTTTATGTGGGGGGGGCTTTTCGTACAAAATGGATGGTAAATATGCCACCGACGACGACCAGGTGGCCAGGGATAACGTGGCGGCCATCGAGTGTTTCTACCGCAAGTTCCCGCAGTTTAAGACAAACGACTTATCTCTCTCTCTCTCTCTCTCTCTCTCTCGATAATTGTCTAATGACTCAAATGTGAACTCAAATGAGTGATAACTTGATTAATTTTAAAATCATCCAAAAACTGGATTTATTTAGTATTTATTCCGATACAATGTAAACAAAATAATCAAGTACATCAAACACACTCTTGTACCAATGTGATACCGTATCACTGATGCGTACACCTTAATAAATATCCAAACATTGAGGTGATCATTGTCAATCTAATCTTATTTTAAACCTACAAGTTAATACCCCCACACACCAACCTAATCACATAGATTAAATCATTAATTTAATGCTCACCACATCATCTATTAATAGCCAACTGTATTTGTGCACAATATTAGCCCTCAAGGCCGGTGCTCTGGTGAAGGACAGGTAGTCAAACAACTGTTAAATACAGAGGCATACCCTCCCAAATGGTGTTCAAGCTATTGAGACAGAAAAAAGTAATTATGTTTACGCTTGAAAACAGTTGTTTTGATAGAAAGTGCTAACTTATGTTTATGCTTTTTGTTGTTTAAAATGTTCAAGTTACAGTTTCTTTGTCTAACGACCTAGTTGTGGTTTTACATAATGGATTAGGATTAATGAAATCGTGATAGATTAAACAGTAATTTTAATATTTATCATCATGTTTGCTGTTAATCGTTGTACAAGTTATGCGTTAAGTTATAGGATTAATGTGATGTGCGTTAGAAATGAATTTTTCAGTACAACTCGTTTTAATCGTCAGACATCGGGCTATAGTTACGCGTTTGAGCCGTCACTGGAGCCCCTGTCGGGCCTAACGGTCGGTCAATTGATCCGCGAGTGCGCTCAGGACTCACCCGATCGGACGGCCGTTGTGTCCGCTCACCAACGGATCACCAAAACCTATGCCCAACTCAATGCCGACGTAAATAATGTTTCATTACTTTATTTTTTTTAATTAATTAATAATTATAAATTTTGTGAAAATTTTAGTTTGTTTTTATTTGTACAATAATAGTTAAATAATTTAAACAAGTTAGCTTTAATTAATTATTTATTTGAATTAAATTAATTATTTTGATAATATTGTCGATTCTTTGCAGGCAAATAAGTTAGCTATTGGTCTGAAGGGGTTG